GTTACTAAACTAGTAACCGTGATCTATGAAAACCAGAAAATTTTTAGTAGTCCGAATTGTTGCACGGTCGAAAATAAAACGGAAATTGATCGGTCAAAAGCGGAAGCGGTCAAGAGGTTTGGGGGAAATGAGTACAGTACTTCTTTGTTTGATGAAGCGATGCTGATGCCACATTGTCGCCATAATGAGGCCACAATGAAGCGAAGCGATAATCGCCTAACTTTTTAATGTCGCGACATTGAAGCGATGCTGAAGCCATAACAATGCCATAATGATGCGATGCTGAAGCGAAGGTGAAGCTGAAGTGAAGCCAAAGCTTCCGCGAGAACTGTACTGTATATCCGATAATACACCTTTACAATCTAATTCAACTATCAGTAGAACACACAGACAGGGTGAACTCGTATGCTCCAATTTGGAGCCAAAAATAACTTTGTGGTGGAAACATTAGTGACTGTAAGAAAAGTACACAATATATAAATATCAACAAATACTGACCTCTACACCTGTTCTGGCAAAATAACAAATGTCTGATAGCTCAAAACTATGTTTAAGTTTTTCAATAGAGTTGTTGCTGTCTCCTGCAAATCCCTCGGTTACATTATTTGGTTTATCACGCTGGATCAACTCTGAAACAAGACAAGTTTTTAATTAATCGCAATTAAGAAATCATATAGATACAAATACTGAAACCCTAATCCAGGGAGTTTTCTTGCAACCAAAATACATCAATAATACAGTTTGTTAAAATATGCTAAGATGATTGAACCGTGTTAGCGCCCAGGGGCCTCAACTCAGAAAATCACGATTTTTTTAGGGGGTGGGCGCTTACCCGACCACCCCCCTCGAAAAAAGAGTGCAAATGAAAAATTTGATTCATCAAGTGACAGATTACGTCTTTGAGGGAAAATCAAATTACGAAATTTTCACGATGAAGAAACAGAAATGATCACAAAAAATATGCACATTTTATTACAATATTAATTACCTAACACCAGAATTTACGAAATTAAAAACATTTGAGTCTGTTGGAACACAGTCAAAGTCAAAATTGTCATATTATCTCCACTGACGAAGATGTTGGATTGTACGCAAACTCTCGATGAAAATCGCTTTCCGCCATGATGCATTTGCAGATTTTACCTGCAGCAGCGTCCTTTGACCTAATGGATCAAGTTGGTTATTAACCAATCAGAATGCTGTGTTGTACTGACGCAATTCTTCGGAAATTCCCAAAGACTATCCAGTAATGCGGAAGTGAATTATCGATGTCGAAGTACGATCTGTTAGAATTGATTTCAGCGAATAAATGACATGGTTTTTCCAAAAACTAGTAACTAGCCATTTTTGAGAGGTAAACTGAATATGGCATGAAATATTTACCACATTTTACTTGTATTAACAGGTCATTGTTGAAGCGTAGTTTACGCACGGTTAACGTGTTCCATGCATTCACAACATGTTCACAGCGGTCGATATCTACGCTGTATCATATAAAAACGATTACCAGAATTCGTTACGCAAGACCAAGTGTTATATTAGTTGCATTTTGAAGGGGTGGGCGCTTTGCCGAATGTGACCCCAAATATAAAAATTGCGCAAAAGTGGGGGGTGGGCGCTTGCCCGGGCATGGGCGCTAACGCGGTCGAGTACGGTATTATGGAACTATAGGTACTGGGTAGGATGGAAATCAACCTCCTTAACTCACTGGTAATTGTTATGTTGGTTAATCATTAAAGTGGCACATGTGAGGACTTGCATTGGTTTTGTGGATGTGGAAACTTTTGATTGGCTGTTGCAGGCAATATTTAAAGCGTAAATATTAAAGTTAGAGAGAAAAGGAGTATCTTAAATATAACACTATAAAAATGCTTGAGTACACTGTAGTACATTAGCTGCCAAAAACAGCATAGGTAGTTCACACATGCCCACTACTACGGTATTATTTTCTGCCTACTTTTCCACAATCACCCTATTAAAATTGTAAAGATAGTCCTACTACTGCTGACAATCAGGGGTAAAGGTGATGGAAGATACAACACGTTGATAGCAAGTTTTTATTTAAAGCAGCATACAGACACAAATCGCATTTACAGGGTCAAAGGTCAGGAGTTATACACAATGCTATCACACTGATACTAAGATTAGAATAATGCACCATATCTAGGCTCATTAGAATGAGTTTTTAATTTTTTTCAAAAATTTACTAAATATACCATGATCTATGAATAGAAATTGGTTTGTGTACATTGTGATGTATATGTATGTTTACTATTTATTGTTTTCTGTTCTCAGTTATCATAATTAGTGCCCAGGTATACCTATGTAATTAGAGTGACCTATTAAAAATGAAAAACTGTTTTTTTCATGCCCATTGTTGAAAGTGTGATGTTCACTTTCGATTTCAGAAATCTTTGACTGCATTTACTAAGTACTCATTTATTTTTCTAAACAGTCAGTACCGATATTGCTAGTCTACTACAGTTTACTAGAAGACTTTCTTAGTTGAACAGTCCTCATTTACTAGTAAGCAACAAAGCTGTTTTCACATAATCCAAGTTGGAAGTACAACTTTCTCCTCACTATGTAAAATAAATTGTATGAGCAGCAACACCCTTGCTTTAAACCAACCAATTCATCACATGATTTGAGATGGAATGCAACAAGTTGCTCACTAGGATACCCGGTACATACATATCAGATCTTATTATACAAGTCAGCCAGTTCTGAAATTGGTTTGTATGAGACAGTACACTACACATGCATCAATATTTATTTCAAATACATGTACTATTATTTACAGTACAGAGGTGTTCAATAATTGACGTACTATGCACCAATTTCATTTAAAATTGACATACGTCTGAGGTGAGGTAAGTCATTTAGTGGGTTAACTTTTCACAAGCACTATTGGGTACAATAACTACCGTAAAAAAATCATATTTGAGGCTGCAGCTGCAGGTTGTTGAAAAAGTCTGCAATATAAGCCGCACCCCAAACTTTCACAAACCAAACAACCACCACATATTTCAGAAAAAAATATACCAGTTAATTTTAAATTAAGGCATAATTTTTCGAACATTTCAATCTTTTCTGACGCCTAACTTAGAGTCTAATTTAGGTTTTCCGTAGTCATTGACGCTTATTCAAGAGTACAGTGTTTATTTTGAGTAGTGTGAATGGGTAAACTGCGTTTCGACAATGAGATGTTATTATCGTCAAAAGTGTTAAATTCTTCTTCGATGCTCAGGTTATCTTTCGAAAAACAACTAATTTCTTGATTTAAAAAAAAATCATTTCCCATCAAAATCAAAGCCAAACGATCGCACTACAACAACGGTAAATCTCTTCCATGTCGCATTCCCCATGAAGTTGCTGAACTATTATTAACATATTTAAATGAGCTATAGTAATTAAGACACATGGGCACAATCCAGCGTTTCTAGGAATGCATTTGTTTTTACTTCTTTTAGAATATACTTTTTGTTATCAAAAAAAATTAAGAAAATAAATACATATTACATTAAATATACATTAAGTATTTTTTTGTTATCATGTGAACATTTTTTTTTATTGACTGTCCCTGATGTCTAAATTAAACATGGACAGTCACTCTGCCGGAAGTCAAACATGCCAGTAGTCGAAACTCCATCGACTGTGTCAGATGACTGTCTCTCAGTTGTGACCTATACCGGTGCAAACGAATTAGAGTGACATCTATTCAAGAGATTGCAGTACCTAAATCTGCAAATGCATACAAATCTATTTGTAGATATTATCTTTTGTGTACAAGTTTGTCTGTGTGTAAAAATCCGAAAGTGCGCTTAGAATTGCAACAAAGTTGCAAACGAGTGTTGTGCATCTCATTATCCCTTCTGGCCTTTGTTTTCTGAAAAAATTTTCCACTGTTACCGAAGTGAATGCTCGCACCAAAACTTCACGCATCTGAATTCGTCCATTGAAAAAATTAATTTTAATTTAAGCCGCGGCCTCAATTAGGAATTTTACGGTACTACTTTTACCAGTTAATCATGAATGGCTGTGACAGATTGCTGTACTTACAATCCTACCAAAACACTATTTATTTGGCTGACCTGTGCCTCTATACAAGTTGCATTTCTAATAGAGCAAATACAGTATAGAAGCTATAATAGGATGCGTTAACCTAAACACCAGTCTTCTGGTCAAACATTTCATGGCAACGACATATATGGAATATTATGTGAAGTACTTACACAGTTGACAGAGTAGTATCTCAATGCTGTGTCATTATGGCAATAGTAGTTGCTCCATAAAATTCATGCAGGTTTGAAGATGAACTGATGCATACTATCGGTAATCATAATTTTGTTTTATGGTTTATATGTTAATGTAAAGAACCATAAGTTATGTGTGGTTGGGGAAGCCACTTGATGCAATGAAGTGTCTCCTTACACTTGGGATCATCAAGCCACAATAAAAACAAATACAGATTCTGAGTTGTACCCAAGGCAATCTCCTTGTAAGCAGGAGGCCCAATTTGCTAACAGTGTACTTACCCTGTGCTGTGACAACTGTACCATTACTGGTCACAATCTCTTCACCACTTTGTTTAGAAGCTAATGCAATCCGCTGCTTTCCCCACTGAAAAAGACAAGAAGAAATAAAATGTTTCAAATGATGAAAAAAATCGCGTTTTCCTGTTTTTGCCTTCATATAGTAGACTAAGTAGTATTAATTATAACACACATTGGCACTAGAATTCCACTGTTACCGGTACTGTTGAATACACAAAAATCCTGTCAAGGATAAACACAATATGTGGTTTGTTATACATCGTAAAAATCACAACAGTATTTTACATTGATTACATTGTATATCGTATGCCAGAAATCATACAAGCCATGAAGGTGATTGCCCAGACTCAAATACTGTATTTGTTTTTTTAGTAGCACATACACTTACATAAGGTAAATAATAAATGCAATATTTGATGTCAGTGAACTTCTATTGAAGATGCACTTCCAATAGAGCAAATACAACTTATTTGTTTTTCCACAATTTTGGCTTTTAAATTGTGTCTTCTGAAAATTACCAAGGCCTTAACATGTTGTGCAAGAATGTTTAAATAAAGATACGTGCATTATATTATAGGATGAGAAGATATTGAAGTGTCTCTTGAAACCCAGTATTCAATAAATGCCAGTAAGGCTGGCTTAGTTGATTTGTTAATTCATTTTCAGTTACTAGCTTCTATAGAAGTTGATATATTAAGATCCATGCTACAGCACTGGACAGAGTCTATAATACAATTACTAACAGCACATGTTGTAAGAGGATGAAGAGAGCGAGAACAAAAGAATCAGGTTTGTCCTGAAGAAAGTATCTTTACATTTACCATATTTGCTCTAATATCCTGAATTACACATGGACAAAATTAATTTTAAGATAAAAGTACCTTTAAATTTACCATATTTGCTCTATTATCCTAGATTACAAATGGGAAAATTAATATTAAGAAAAAAGTACTGTTACCATATTTGCTCTTTTAGTAGTACACACATTTACAAAGACAGATATGTGTCAGCAGCGTCAGCCATTGTGTAATTACCTGACAAGCTGCCAGTCATGGAACTCATTACTACATTTACATATGTATGTCTTTGTTGTATTGATTGACGGCTCATCAAACTGGGCTAGTTGGTATTATTTAATACTTACTTTTATTTCTACTCACTGCTCAAATCATTCAAAACGTCTAAGTTGTTGAAGCTAAGCTGTTGTTGAACAAATTGTCAAGTCAAAACATCTACCTATGCCAAACTGAAAAATAAAAGTGAACCCACAAACCATGCCCACTAAATAAATAGGTTGTTTGCATTGCTTTTAACAATATCTGACCACAAATCACTAAGAATATAGCTACTACTAGACTGTCAACAGTCTAAGCTACTACCATTACTGTTGCTGTTAAAATTTTGAAGAAAGGATAAACAATACATTCAAGACGAGGTAATGTGTGAATCACCAGGAATAAAAAAGTTTCCAATTTGTCTTGAACAATACCATTGAAATGTGAACCACAAATATGTCTATTGAAATTGTGTTTCATAGGTCAAGGCAGAGTACTTGAAATAATATTAAGAAATAATTCATCCATGCTAAACTCTGGGGCATAGATGTACAGGGCTGCAAAGAATCTAGATCTATGTTCTCTGATTTGACAATTATTACAATACAAAATGTAATGTTTCTCATCCTCTACTTCATTGCATTCATGGAGATTACATAGCCTATTTTCCTTCAATGGGAATCAATCAATGGGAAACGAATGTGCGGAAGTTATAAATTTAATATAAGCTATTCAATGATTTTTATTTTTAATTCTATCTCAATAATGTTCAAATGCAAAATTGTTATTAGAACACCTGTAAAAGTTAAGCTTACATTTGTTCAACATATTGTTTTTCTACTTCATACGGTACAAACATTTGAGCTTATCATTAAAAATATCACAAAAATTATTCAGATGTAGGTCTGAATTAGTCAGATCAGATCATAGACTGCATCAATGATAGAATTGTTTTTTTTACATACCAGTCATTGATACATGTAGCATTCACGCAAAGCTCCTTAGCACGAGCTAAGAGATCAAATACTGTGGAAAATTTTATTTTCGCTGTTATTAATTTTCACTGAAAAGGCTTTTTGTATGGAATTTATTTTCACTGATTTTTGATGAGTTTAATGTGAAATATAGGAAAAAAAAGTATATTTGCTGGATTTAATTTTCACGGAATCATCCCTTCAGTGAAAATAGCGAAAATAAATTCCAAGCAAAAATAAATTATTCTACAGTACCTTAGCCTGTGCTAAGAAAACAAGCATGAACACTTAGCAGGGGCTAAGAAATGCTAAGCACGGATTGAATCTGGCCTGTTTTTAAGACCATGATTCGCAATGCAAGAGCTTTTGGGACCTGTCACAGTTCTTGGAAAAAATTCCTGAATATCTTCTGCTGTTATTTGTGCTAATACACATACACTCATTTTTCCAGAACTATATTTTACACAGAGCAGCAACATGGTTTTCTAGCTCATAATCAATATTTTCCACCCACAATTTAGGTTGATTTTTTCTAGGTGGCGTTTTTTTCTTTCTAGGAGAGTAAGGTCATGTGACACCTGTGACAGTGTCCATTTTACTTAACACCTTGTCAGTAGGCATGGCTTAGAGAGAAAAGACTGGGTTCACAATTATTTTTCAAGTGTCAGCCTTATTATGTTTTGACTTGACAAGTTGCTTGACAGCTAGCAAAAAGATCGGACTGCATGCACCATCAGTGGTGTCTTTTAAATGTTATGATGTTTCAAACTCTTAGTCAATTTACAAGGTGCATTGTAAAATAAAACATTGCACATAACCTGACTGCACTGACCCTGAAACTTGACAATGTACATACATGTACATGTGATTTATATTCATTGCATAAGGAGCACCATCTTGTTGCAGACAGAGAAATCTTTATTCAAATATTTCATAACTTTTAATCCAATGCCATCATTTTTACATCTCTAAGATTACATACATGTACACATACCCTGGTATACAAAACAGTGCATGACAGACAAGCTATTTACAAATGTACTTACAGTTGATGATTTAAAAGTGTCTTCATGTATTTTATTATTTGCAAACTGAAACAAGACATGCCAGAATGGAATACATATAATTTCATTTATATAGGCCCTTTAAATGTAAATGCTACAAAAAAAAGACCACATAGATGCTAGTACATGTACATGTTTGAAATGAAAATAAGCATATGATATACATAAAGTATGTTATACAGAAATAATCAAGACCCATTATAATTGAAATTCTCAATCAAAGATTTATGAAATTTAGTCTAGAACGTATGTATGTTGCATACGGCTCACTATACAACACTCCACTTGTGCTCACATGTACCGATGGGTATGGTTTTTTTACTAATGAAATCCACACTGTTGTCACACTAGTGACTGAAAATAACAGTATCAGAGGTGGAACAGATAGAAAAATGATCAACAAAACACCAAAATGTAATTCGAAGCCAGTTATCAAATGACAAGCACCGTTACAAGTATACAGGGTTTTGACATCACTCAGCTTGTGCCGCAAAACCCTGTTTGATTGAATATCACTCTATAACCTTCAGTGTATACTGACAGCATTATCAAGGCCTAGACATATGCAATAGACTGACAGAATTCTGTTTATCAAGTGGTGCTAACTTTTGAATGCAAATTGAACAATTATTTATAATAATATTTTAATAATATTAAAATTGGCCAAACTTTTTATTGGGCAATGATATTTATTCTGAACTTACCTCAAATATATGGACTAATATTTTGACATATAATCTTCGAACACCAATTTCAAGGCCAAACATTGCCGGAATTATGACCATGGAATACAGTGATATCAATGGCACCAGAAGTAGACCAATAATGACGAGTAGAAGGTGGTCATCCATTGTAAGAACCGTTCATGGACGTACATAAAAAGGTTGATCTACAAACTTCTGGGAACCTCTGGCCATTGCTGTGCCGGAAGGTTATTCACTAATAACATTGTCCTCGTGTTTCAACTGAGTACAAGTTATCAGCTGGATTGTCAGCACATGGGCAGGGATCATTCAAAGGCGCTGTTCTTCAGTAGAGCAGAGGTCATCAACCGCACGGTCACACACCTTCAGACTTGAACTGTCTTTCGTTTAGAATCCTTTGACATCACAGACTGGAAGGAAATATCAACACACAAAGACATGGGAACGAAGAAACGGGTTCCCGTTATCGTTAAAACAACAATAGCCACAAATTCAACTACTAAATTTCTCACAAAATGAGTAGTTGCTCCACATTGTACATGAAATCAAAAAACTGGAAGAAAACCGGAAGTTCATAGAGGTTGTCGGACGACCTGAGTATAGCTATGTATAGTAGCGTGTGCATTCGCCTAGATCGATGGACATTTTCTACAACCCGATTCTCATATTGGATTAAAAGGTTTAGTATAATATATTTTGTAATAAAACAAACGCAATTGTTTATTTACTCAGAAGAACTACTGTTAGTTAGTTTCTTTTTTTAAATTGTCGTACAACAGTTTTAAAAGTTTGCACTAAAAGCGTACGGGGTTTCCCAGAGTGCTTTTTATATCTAGCGAATTATGGCTCCAGCACCGGTAGTAGTATCGCCTCTCATCAAGGTAAAACATTATTTAAGAATAATATGTGTATTTAAAGTAGCATGGCGGGTCATCGCGACTGTCTTAAATTAACACATGATAAGACTATGGAGCAGCATGCCACCTCTGTGCACTGCAGTGTAGTCTGCTATTTTTGTTTACGTGACCATGATGATTAGGTGCTACCAGTGCTATGTGGGTCATTTCAGTTTTCGCTTTTCGTGTACAACCGAGTCCGCAGTTCGATATAGGCCAGTGTCTTGATTATCACGCTGCTAAATAATTATTTTAACTGCTTGAAATTCAACCCCCAAACTATGCTGAAACTCCAACGTCCTATCACTGACCCCACTGGACCCTGCTACTTTCCAAGTTCTAAATTCCGAGTAACACTGTTTTACAGATAAAACCAATAACCATATTGGCATATATAATGATTTTCATCATATCTGAGTGACTGGTCGATTCGGCTTTATCTTGTATGATTATGTGTTCTAATTTTATTAGTTACATGTAATACTTTTGAATAGTATTTCAACACTTGTGGTGTCACAAAGAGTTGTTCCGAATTGTTGCATATCCAATGTGACGTGTACAACAAGTGCAAAACACAAGAATACATCTAGATAATATTGGCAGATTGGTGATACCATTTGTGTATTTCTTCCACGTTACCTGGTTATTTCAATATATATGATATAACTTTCAATGTTCTGTCTTTACACAGGCTGCAAGGTATACTGCCTTGTTTGGAGGAATATTTTATGGCAGTAGGAGGAGCTGTAAGTACCATTATCATTCTGTCGTGTGTCCGGACAATTACAATTTTGTCACAGACAAAACAATATTCATGAGAGCAGTTTTTCAATCATTTATTACATTATTCAAGAATCTCCAACTATCAGTTTTCTCCTCTGAGTTTTTGCCAATTTACATATTATTTGCATATCATTAACATTATAATTTTCATTCAAATTCAAAATTACGCTACTGAGGGCTCTATTGACCTGGCAAGCTGATGTAGTCTAAATACAACATTGCCACAACAGATGATGAACTATTGCTATTCAGTGACTGACTTTTCAGCTCCGCCGTCATCATAGGTGACAGAACGAGCTCACCTCAATTGCTTTGATACTTGATATACTGGTACATTGGGTGGACCTCCGTCAGATTTGTTCATTTCATCCCATCTTCAATTTTCTATTTTTGGCGAATGCTTTGTCATTTTTGGTAAAAAAAATGCTATTTTCAAGGACTTCATGAAAACTACCAGCTCGAATTGCTTTGATATTTGGTATCAAATTGCGCTGGCAGTTTTCAAGATGAATTCTTATGTGTGAATTGCTCAACATGGCTACCACAATGGTCTTGTAGGACAGTGGAGCTATTTTGACAATCAGGTCGCTGACGTCACAGTAGCATGGACCTATACAGTGGTTTGACCTGCTGCATTGCAAATAAGATTTCCAAAATGGAACTATATAAGCCAAGAAGTTGCTTGTTTTTGGAATCATTGATTTTCTATCCTGTAATTCAGATTATTATATCTGTTATTTCTTTTAGCTTCAATTCAAAAGAAAGAAAACCACAAGAAGTCTATTCTTGAAGCTGATAAAGCGAAACAGGCAAAACATGAAGCAGCAGTTTCCAAAACAGGTGATATGTTGTAGTAACACATACTTCATCCATAGTAGTCATCAGACATTAGCTAAGGCAAGTAAATGGCTGAAGCACATTCTAAACAAATAGCTTACTAACATCCATACACTCTCATGATTTACGCTTCCAAATTATCATGCATAATTTCTGTCAGCTTTTATGACATTTATTTATTGCAAGTGTCCAATCCAGTAAACACAATTATATAATTTTGTTTTCAAATTTTTTCAATAATTTTGATCAAGATAGGAAGAAAATTATTTCAATTTGCTCCAAGCATTATCAATAGAATTTAAAAAAGTTATCAAAATTGAGCAAACTGTTGAAAGGTTAATCCTGATTTGAAAATGTTTGGCTGTCTAATCATGTTGTTGTTGACCAAAAGTACTGTATTTGCTCTATTAGAAGCACATCTGTAATAGAAGCACACATAAACTGAGAATAGCATTCATTGTGTGCTGGCTCATTAACATGTATATGTAGCTTATTTTCATCATTGACACACCACTCTCATTTTCATAAGCTCATGCATTACTCATATAGCAAATATGGTATGGTTAATATAAGTATGACATAATGCAATAGTGGCTTTAACTAACCAATACTGACTTCTTTCCACATTTCTTATTTCACTGTTTTCATGGTTATGTATTTATTTTATGGGTAAAATATAGCAGCATTACCTAGGCCATGTTTTCATGGTCATGTATTTATTTTATGGGTAAAATATAGCAGCATTACCTAGGCCATGTTTTAATTCATTGTTATACATGTACCAAGCCCAAATTATCTTTGTGGTCAGTAAATTAGTAAATGCAGGGTGATATGTCATTGTAATATGGTACATGTTAAATTAATTTTTGAATGACCAATATTTCATTGTTCAGATGCTGTTTGTATATGTGTACAATGAACATTTT